GCTTTCAAAGTCAGAAGACTGCAGTTTGGGGTGAATGTAGCCCCTGGCATTTTTCAAAGCATTATGGAGCGAACGCTCCGTAACATTCAGGGAGTTTGCCCATACTTCGATGATGTCCTCATTGCAGAGGAATCTCCCAAAAACTTGGCTGAGAGGCTTCGGTCCGTTTGTTGCAGTTCCGCGAAGTGGGGCTGAAGCTTAGCCAAGACAAATGCAAAATTGGAATCACGTCCATTGAATTCTTGGGGTTTTGTATAGATGCAGAAGGCATCCTTCTTGCTGAATCGAAGCTCAAGGCAATTCAGCAGGCCCCAAGCCTCAAGTCAAAGAGCGAGCTTCAAGCCTTCCTTGGACTTCTCAATTTCTATCACTCATTCCTACCTCACAAGTTTGCAGTGGCAGAGCTGTTACACCGGCTCTTGGACAAACAGGCTCCATGGAAGTGGACACAAGTCCATGAAAAGAGTTTTGCAGAGGTCAAGGCATCGTTATCTTCAAATGCTGTTCTTGCTCAATTCAATGAGCAGCTGCCAGTGTGTATAGCCTGCGATGCATCCCCTTATGGGATTGGGGCTGTCTTAAGTCACCTGAAGGTTGATGGGACACAAATCCCTGTAGCCTACTATTCTAGGACTCTGTCATCTGCTGAGCATAATTACGCGCAGATAGATAGAGAAGCCTTGGCCATAGTGGCTGGCATAAAAAAGTTCCTTTTTGCATAGTCGCCATTTCATGGTCTATACAGACCATAAGCCACTGCTGGGGTTGTTTATAACCAACAAGCAAACCCTACACATAATTTCTCCTAGAATGTTGAGGTGGTCAATTTTCCTTTCTGCATATGACTACTCACTGGTTCACAAACCTGGCAAAGAAATGGGCCATGCAGATGATCTTAGCAGATTGCCTCTACAGCTTGTAGAATCAGATCCTGCTCCAGCTAACCACATACTAGCTATTCAGGATTTGCCTGAGTCTCCCCTCAATGCAAGGTATGTAGCTGCAGAAACTGCCAATGATCACACGCTAACACGTGTGTTGACATGGGTGCTGTCAGGATGGCCTGACACTAATTTCCAGAGTTTCTGGAAAAGAAAGCATGAGCTATCCACCTTTAAGAATTGTGTCCTGTGGAGAAGTAGGGTAGTGATCCCAACCTCATTGAGGACTAGAGTCTTTCAATCTCTGCATGAGGGACATCCGGGCATAGTCCGGATGAAGCTCTGGAGCGCAGCTATCTCTGGTGGCCAGGGCTTGATAAGGAGATTGAGACCCAGGTCCAGGGTTGCCAGGTTTGCCAACAGTGCCAGGTTTGCCAACAGTCCTGTGTACAGGATCCTGTACACAGGTGGGAGGAAACATGCTCTTTGGTTGAGGGTTCATATCAACTATGCTGGCCCTTTCAGGGGCAATTCTTCCTCATTGTTGTGGATAGTCACTTTAAATGGCTAGAGGTCATTCCAGTGACTGTCAGGACCATCCAGGTGTTGAGGGGCATCTTCGCCTCCCATGGGCTCCCAGATGTTCTTGTCTCCAACAACGGCCCTCAATTCACTTCTTCTGAGTTTCAGGCTTTCTTACAGGCCAACATGATCTGTCATGCTACTTCGGCACCATTCCATCTAGCTTCCAACGGCCAAGCTGAGTGCATGGTGCGCACAACCAAAGATGCCTTGAAGAGGCTCACTCACGGGAGCTGGCATCACAGGTTAGCTGACTTTCTTCTTTGCCAACGCACCACACCTTGCACAGCTACTGGGAAAAGCCCAGCTGAACTCCGCTGGGTTGTCGTCTCATTACCAAACTGGACAAATTGCACCCAGACCGGGTGGCTTCACAGGTGTCACAGCCATGGGCACCTAGGAGACTACAGGTGGGCGATCCGGTTGGGCAAGGAACTATGGACCTGGACATCTCTGGGTGACAGCAGTGGTCTGCAAAGTCACTGGGCCGCTGTCATATGAAGTGGCCCTGGAAGAGGGTTGTGTGTTATGTCAGCACATTGACCAGCTGTGCTGGAGGCTACCCAGTCACCATTCTGCTCCTGACTCTGCTCTTGGATGGAGGAGGACCACAATGACGATCGTGGATCTCAGTCTTCTTGCAGAAGTGAGGGGTTGCACTCTGCACATAGGAGTTTTGCCAACGAGGCGGCTTCTGACTCTGGCAATGGGTCCATGGAAAATTGCACACAACCGGCTGTTCAGGCCACTCCATCTGCTGGCCTTGTGCCTACGGGACATTGCTCCCAAGAGGTATCTGTCTTGGACCTGGGGAATTCCACCCCACCAAGGAACTCTGGTCTGGGTTTATAGGACTCAGCCAGTTAGCATGATGTGGGTTTGCCTGTACCTAATAGGCATCCAAGTCCTGGTCTGCCGAGGCTGGCAGGCGAGCTTGTAGACAGGGCACTTGCAACCGCTCCAAGAAGATCAGAGCGGGCCAGAGGCCTACCAAGGTATTTGCAGGACTATGTGAAATTCCTGCTAGTAGGTGGGCAGGCTTAGTGTACTTAGAAATAAGAACACGCTCAAAAGAACTGAAAGGGTATTAGATTTATAGTAATGTAAAATAGTAAGTTCTATGTGTTTTTGAGCTAAGAGGGGACGGGTGTTGTGTTATGGCCTGTGATTGACACAGCAGGTGCAGGAAGCTGCAGAGAGACCCGGGCAGACCACGTGGCTGCCCGGGCCAGACAGGCTGTCTCCAGCCTATTGCACATGCGCAAGGAGTGAAAGATATGTTGCATTGATTGGTTGATGCTGCTCCGTTAGGGGGTATAAAAGGGATCCACGCCATTTTGTATTGTTCTGTTGGAAATTAAATAAAGAAGCAACTGTTGTTACTCCTGCCTGTCTCAATGCCTTATCAATGCACAGAACAGAACACCATTCTGGGCTGAAGTGTCCCACAGCATCCTTTCTGGGCAGCAGTGGCTCGGAAAATGCCTCTGATGCCTAGCTTGGGCCTTTGGAGCCCTGCTGAACCATCCCCCAGCGTCCTTTGCAGGTGGCAGCGGCCCAGTAAAGGCCTCTGACACCCAGATCATTTGTAATTTCAGGGCTTTTTCATAAACACTAGGGGGTGCTTATTGCATAACTTTGAACATTCACTAAGGCAGTGGTTCTCAACCTGTGGGTCGGGACCCCATTTGGGATCGAACGACCATTTCACGGGGGTCGCCAAACAACGCAGTCCGCCATTTTTCCCCCCTTTTCCTTAGCTGTGCTACTCCCTTTTATTCTATTGGCTTTTGAAAGCCAATAGAATAGATTGTCTTGAATAGAGTCTAATTCTATTGGCTTTCAAAAGCCAATAGGAATTGTCCAGGCTGTCTCTGCCCTGCTGAGCCTGCCAAAAGTCCCATTCTGCAAACGGTGTTGCAAGTTGTCTGCAGCGAAGGCGAGCTGTCTGGAAGTTTCCACCCCCCCTACTGAGCAACTACTAAAAATGTAAGTAAAAGAGGGCCAGGGGTGGGAGGCCGGCAGGCGCAGGGTTGCTGGTGTGCGTGGGGCCCGGCGGGTGTCTTACCTCCCTTGGGCTGGGGCAGCTGGTGGCCCAGCCGGTGGTTGGCCTGCGCCGTCTCTGCTGCTTGCCAGCTACACCTCGACCGGCGCAGGGGGCAGCACCATGCATGTGCGGCGCTCCCGGCCAGGGAAAGTCCTTGACTTACGACTGGTTGGGTAGTCCTCAACTTACGACCGGTTGAGGGTCACGGCATTAAAAAGGCTGAGAACCACTGCACTAAGGGAACCCTCGTAACTAGGGGATTACCTGTATAGCAAACTGCAGAAAAGGATTGTAGTTGAGTGGTAACTCTGCTTGTCCCAAGTAATTGATACTGAGCATCAGCAATACAGATATGTTTTCTACTGTGATTTCCTTTGCTGTTTTATCTGGCCATTTAACCTCTAATGATTGTCAGTATATAAGACAAAATTGCCTTTCCATTTAATTATTTTTATGTGGATCCCTAGTGCTCCCTCAGCTTGGTGGTTTTCTTGAAGAAGTTTCATTACAAAACAAATGTTTCATCAGTGCTAGAAGGGAGTGGAGTTTGCTATTATTTTTACTAGAGGTTTGCCTTGTCAGTGTTTGTGAAAGTATTCTTGGTGGTTCCTTGATTAGGCTGTTGTTTATTGGTAACTTGTTTGTCTGCATTGGTAGTTCTTGGCTGGGGTATTGTTTACTTGATTGTTGATCTAGCATTAATCTTAGTGTTAATCTTTACTTATCAGGGGAGGAGGTATTTGGTCTTTTTGTTTCCTTTGGAGCTTTTTGGTTGTCTTTTTGTAGTGGTACGTAGATATTGTTTATTTCTACATGCCTGTTGGTGCACAATATTCTATTTTTGTGTAGAATAGTGGTTGTGCGCGCATAGATATCTGGGCAAATGACAAAATCCATGTGTCAGTGGTTAAGACACATGGCAGAATCTGCATAACCTCACTGCAACTATGTTGTCATTCTGTTGTCATTGCAGATTGCTGCAAATGTTGCTGCTGTGTGTGATAGCAAATATTTTAGCTCTCTTTATGCATAATCTTTATTTTTAATCATTTGTATCTGCAGTTATAAGTTGGAAAGATATAGAATAACCTCTGCCAAATATTAACTGGCCTTTAGATATGTTAGAAAACAACTCTCATATGCTCATTCATCTTTGTAATTGCCTGTCTTTCTCAAGATGATAAGACTTGGGTGGCCTCTTAGTACCTTTTAACTGCAGTCATACTTCAAATGATCTATCAGCCATTTATGCACATGAGGTTTTAAATAACTTCCTCCTATCCCTGAAACTTACCTAAGATCAATTTAGTTCTACCTGTAGGTGTGATAATCTCAGTGACAAGTTTCTGAAAGCTGATTTCATAAGAGAGGCATCTTAGTGAAAGCCATTTTAGTGGATGCATTAAAAGTTGCTAAGCATGAAAATTATCACCGCTCACATGAGATTTTCTGCCTTGGTATTCATAAAATTACTTCTGACGAGGATGACACTGCTATAATAATTTATTTTCCTCGATGCTTTTGTAGTTTTTCCAAGTGTACATTTTAATCATCTCATATGCATACATCCCTTTGCAAATATATATTTTAATCCCCTTGCATGTATATGAAGGTATGTGTATGTGCAGTTTTTTAAAAAATTGTTTTCTTTCTAGGTTGTCAAAAGTGTTATGAAATCTTGCTGGTTCCCTAAACTCGTTATTTCTTCTGCCACCACTTCATTCTGGTTCCTTTCCTTGCCTCACATTGCAACATTTGAAAATAGTTACCTGAAAAATAGATTTAATGAAAAAACAGTGAGTGCCTATATTAGGGTCACATATTGATCAAAAAGAGACAACAGCTAACTTTTCAGGTGTAAAATGCAGCTAACACAAGCATATATCTGACACACATAATAATTAGAAAGATTACAGATTTGACCAAGAGTTAAAAGGATAGAGTGAGTTGGAGAACAGCCACAGATTACAGATTAGGGGAGCTGAAACTGAAATATTCCCTTTACCAAAAAATGCCATTAAGAAATTACAGTGTAGTACGCTGTAACAATTGTATTTGTCATATCAAAAGAAATCAAATATTTTTTTTCTTAAAAAAGGAAGAATAATTTGGTCACGTTTCACATGGCATATGCCAGTTCAGTACAAATCTTCATTGCATTTCTTTCAATAAATTCCGTTAAATTCTGATTTGTCTCTGGGTTGAATCAGATCAAATGACCCGTTAGGATCTTTTCATTGTTCTTGTTGTTCCATTCAATCATGTCCAATACTTGGAGGCTGGCTGGAGAAATCACTACAATTTTCTTGGCAAGTTTTACAGAAGTGGTTTGCCATTGCCTCCTTCCTAGGCCTGACAGAAAGTCACTCAAAGTCACCCATCTGACTCTGTGCCTAAAGTAGAACTTGTGGTCTACTATCAAGATCTTCTATCCTGTTGCCTTATCAAGAACTTCAATCCTATTATTAAGCACGTCAAGTAATTGGTAGATTCGATATATAAGATAAGTAAATTGAACTTTCAAGTCAGTTGACTCGACTCATACATTTGATCAATTATTCAAACAGTTTTTATATTTGAATCAGTTCAGTATTACAAACTGGAGCAATCCAATTTTTCAAATGAATTTAAATCTAAATTTGCATAGGCTTACTACTTTATATCCCACCATGTCCTACAGTTTTACACTCAGTTATTTGTGAATAATCTAAATCTATGAATCAGCCACAGATTATAAATGGGGGACTTCCAACAATTTTTGGAACTGAATGCTCATTATATCATAGTTACTAGAATTTATGAGAGATGGAGTGCGGGGTTTATTAAGAAAATAGAAAAATGATGAAATGTCATCATTTTTCTTTACAAGATTCACCTAAAATTAATTATTAATAAATATCAATTTACTTTGACATTTTATCCAATTATTCTCTGATGTAAAACTACAAAACACTACTTCTATTGTATGCTTTCTGGTGGGGTATTCTGTGATCAAATTTAAATAAAATAAAACAAAATCTAAGCAATCTTAACAAAACTAAATATAATTGTTTAAGAACAAAGGACTTGATAAAGGGATATGAAAAAAAATACTTTAAAATGAAACAGAAAAGCATTCAAGTATACCAAGGAGGTTTTTATTTGAAAAAAGGGAATAGTGGGGAACAGTGGGAAACATTACATTGACAAAATTCCAAATAAAAATGAAGTCAGTATATGTTATCTAAATATTTGAGCAGAATTTTCAGTTTTCAGAAAAGATGATCCTTCACGTCTTTATTAGGTGATTGTGGAATATAAGTAGTTCTTGACTTACAGTACTTTGTTTAGTAACCATTTGAAATTCAATGGCACTGAAAAAATGACTTATGACCCCATTTTCACACTGAAAAAATGACTTATGACCCCATTTTCACTGCTGTAGCATCCCCATAGTCCTGATCAAAATTCAACTGACTCCTTTTTATGATGGTTGCTATATCCTTTTGCAACCCTATTGTCAAGTAAAGTCAACGGGGAAACCAGCTTTATTTAATAACTATTTTACTAACTTCACAACAGTGATTCACTTAACAACTGTAGCAGGTCGTAAAGTGGGACAAAACTCACTTAACAATTGTCTTGCTTAGTAACAGAAATTTTGGGCTCAGCTGTGGTCACAAGTCAAGGACAACCTGTAAATACCAAACACAACATCTCACTCTATTATTTGGTTCACTACAATAGATTCACGTGATGGACGTGGCATAAATCCAATAAATAAAATAAATAAATAATCGGTTCCATTCTTTATATCAGTCTAATTTTATCTGCCAATTTTGAAATCATTGAGCACTATATCTATATCTATAACAATTCTTAACATTCAAAATCATAATGAACAATTGCCAGCAACTAATTTTGGAATCCATTATGAAGTGGACAATGCATATAATACTAGTTTTGTATATATGCATTGTCCACTTCATAATGGATTTCAAAATTTCAGATGCTCATGATGTACCATTAAATTATATCAGCTTATAAGATTTTTATAAGAAAATCCAGCATAATCTTATGGGGCAAAGATCTTTTTGTAATCATAGATGTTCATGTGATGCATCAAGCTATGCAGTTTTGGAGGTGATATGAGGAACTGTCTGAACTGAATACTGCCAAATATCAATATTTTCCTTAGCATAAATTATTTCTTATTATATATTTCTAATGAAAAACAGTATAAATACTATCTGTTTCTGGGATATAGTTATGTTTGTTTCTGCCACAACAGAGATTAAAAATTCTTTGACATTTTAAAGCTTAATAGATATATTGCAGCATACTCTAATTCATAAAGTTGATACCATAATAGTCTTGATAATAGTGTTGCAGACTGTTGTTGTTTCTGACAAGAAACTGTGTTCTACATTAATTATGTATAAAAAGAAAAATGGGCGTTCATTATAACCTATCTCTCCAAATATTTTTAACACAGTATTGCAGTGTTGGCATGGAACATTTCACATGTTATTTAACAACACACCTGTACTTCCAGTCTTTCATAATATCCCCCCAAACATGATTTTGGGGGGCAGGTTAGTTTTCTCTTGAAAAAGTTTCTCTAATTGAAGAAAAAACAGTCTACCTCAAAAATTTGGGACAGTAATATAGTCCTGCCACTTTGTAGTAGTAGCTGTTTAGAGGCACTGTACTTATACATTGCTTATAGTATACCCTATATTAAGTATTTTTAAACTTTTAGAAAACTATTTTAGGACAGGTGTTCTCAGAAAGCAAGCATTCTTTTAAAAAAATTGATTTCAATGATTGTCTTGTAAATAAAAGGTTTTATATATTTTTTAAAAAAGGGAGATGGCATTATTAAATTAATAATCAATTTAATTCTATGATGATTTGTTTTCTAATATCAAAAATGCTAATATAGGTTCTTAGACAATTGCATGCATTTTAACATACTTGAAGGATATATCATTAGTTTTGTATGTTACATCTTATCCTTTCCTGCTCACTTTGATATGCTAATGATCAAATTGCCTAGCAAAATGGGAATATGATGACTAAAGTAAAAATCCTTCTTCTACAGACTAAGTAAGTTCTGATTTTGCTATTAATATCTCATTTTCAAAATAATATGACTAGAGTGCATTTATGTCAAGAAGGAATCATTATATGACTAGTTCCCTGAACAAGCAAATGAAGTCTTCAAAATATCTGTTTGTATTATATCTTTACTGGCTTTTTCCATGAATGTATCTGCTCCCAAAATCACCATTACATTTTTACAACTGGCACACCAGACTGAAGCAATTGATTGGGATAATGCTGCATGCAAATTTCATAAACTGGGAAATCCAAAATCATGCAGGTGAGTTCATACAATCTACTAAGCCCAAACCAAAGAAGGTCTATTTTACACAGTTGAGGGTAGAGTAGAAGTTGTGGTCTTATATGCAAATCACTCATATGATGAAAAGTGAGCTATTGTCGAACTCCATAATTACTTACATGTTGTCTGTGAGAACTAAATCTCTGACACTAGAGCAGGGGTTCTCAAGCTTGGCAACTTTAAGACTTGTGGACTTCAATTCCCAGAATTCCTCAGCCAGTTTTGCACTAGAGAGTAAAGAATACAGAATTAATGCATTGACAGCCTTAATTACATAAACATTTTATTCGTGTATTTATTAATCAAATTTAGGTACATTTCACTCTTAGCTTCAGTATCTTTTATAAGGGAAAACATCCCCTAACAGAAATCTGCCATGACCCTGAGAATTGTTCCCAAAACAAAACAAAACAAAATTCTTATGGAAGGATTTATATTCCTTATCAGTCATCTGCTGCTTAGCACTCTGAAGGTCAGATAATTAGCTGTTTCAGAGCTGTTGAGCCCCCTTGGAGGTTTGTCTGTACTGTCAGGCTCACCTGAATCACAGTGAAAATGGATCTTTTAGCAGTTCTTTTAGCAATCTCAAGAAGATTCCAGACCCATTTGCACTTCTGGTGACCCCGAGAGTACAGATAAAAATCTCCAAATGGCCTCAACAACTTTCAAAGAGCTAAGGACCAGATGATGCTAAGGAATATAAATCTTTCCATTCTCCACCATTCAGTCAGAACTGAAGAACTTCTTGGATGACAAGGGAAATGTTTTCAGGGAGAGAAAAAAAAGCTGAGAAAGTCAAGTTGCCTTTTGAAAAGCACCTTTGGATTAAACATGACCTGGATGATAAAGAATTTCCATTCACCCTGAGAATTAAAGTACAGGTAGTCCTTGATGTATGGCCACAACTAAGTCCAAAATTTCTGTTGTTAAGCAGGATAGTTGTTAAGTGAGTTTTGCCACAGTTTTTTGCCATGGTTATTAAGTGAATAATTGCAGCTTTTAAGTTGGTAGCACAGTGGTTAAATGAATCTGGCTTCCCCATTGACTCTGTTTGTCAGAAAGTCACAAAAGATGATCACAGGACCCTGGGATACTGCAACTGCCAGTTAGCAAGCATCCAAATTTTGATCACAGGACCGTGGGGAGGCTGCAATGGTTACAAATATGGAAAATGGTCATAATTCATTTTTTTCAGTCTCATTGTAACTTCAAACAGTCACTAAATGAATGGCTGTAATCAAGGTCTACCTATAGGAGCAAAACAGGAGAGGAAATTTACAGAACATTTGTGATCAATGTACAACATAACGCCTTACCATTTTCACCATACAGATTTTTTACCACCTGGTGGAAAACACCTGATGTACGTGAAACCTGAAGGGCACAAACTAAAGCTACATTAAGACACTCTAAATCATGTGTTAATATGAGGCATTACTGTCTGAAGGTTGCTTGGGTCACACTATTTTAGTAAATTAAAAATGTCCTTGCAACATCAATATACTAATACATATATTAATATGAACTCACTTTAAAATGTGTACAACACTCATAGTAGCACAACCAGTCTTTAAACTCAACTTTTAGGATGTGTTAGTTAACCCACAATGTATATACAGAAGCATCACCAAAGGTTTTGCATTTTGGAAATAGATTCAGTCCTGGACATTTTGTAAGCTGGGAGAGAGAAGGTGCCCATTCCCAAACCTTTATCCTACTGTACCCAAAAATCAATAATAGTGAATTGGATTCACAAAATAGTTGAGTGTATTTTACAAAATCTTCAGCTTTGATTACTATATGAAAAATAAATTCTTTTCAGGTTCAAGGAATAGTTTCAGACCAGCTTTCATTTCCTTTGAACAATGAGATTTAATTTGCCTTATTTTCTGAATCTCTCTTTATCACCAAGATTACGATCTCTCCATGCTTGATATATGGGTGGCTTCTTACTGGCTTATAAATTCTATGATCTCATACTGTTGTTCTTGTTGGACAGCTGAGCGTATTTAATTTGGAAAAAAAATTGCTCTCAACAGTTTTCAAGTTGAACTTTGGAGCTCAAAGTTTTGAGGTTGGCTAACCTGAAAACAAAAGTAAGTTGAGTTGAAATTTTCGATGACTCAAATAGTTGGGAGTATAAAAAGGAGCATATCTTAGTGCCATGAAGTGCTTTTTATTTTCACATGATTTGTCACCAAAACCCTCTCTTGTTCACATGCCCTGATAAACTCTATTTGGATTTCCGTATTTTGGGCTATCTTGGAATTAGATCACAGATGTCAGATGCTACAGAATAAAGTTGCATGACTTTTGCAGGTTAAAATGTACTAAAGGTGTTCCGCCAATAGTTACAAATTTTCATTTCCAAACTGTCTACTTCAGAATCTAAGTAAGATAAGGTATTGGTCTAAACTTGGGAGATCCAGATTTATGTCTAACTTCAGCCTTGGAAATTTAGTGAATTACGCTGAACCAGTTATACTTTCTTAGCCAACTTCCTTCCACAGAATTGTTGGACTTGGGAAAAACTCAGAGAGAAGCTATATACAATGTGCTGGCTTGAATGCTTGAAGGAAAGGTCAGATACTACCAAGCAAACAAATTATAGCACCATGATTTTTATTTATTAAACACTTCCAAAGTCTTGTATTATTAGAATTACTAAAATATAGCTGAATCAAATTGCAACACTGGACAAGTCCAAATTAACAAAGTGCCATATTTATGTATATACAGTACATAAAATACACAATATGTTATGCCATCTACACCAGAGGTCCCCAACCTTTTGGGCACTGGGGACCAGTTAGGTGTAGAGAGGTTTTTCCGCAGACTGGAGGGGGCATGGTTTCGTGTACTGCTTGCATCCTGTGGATGGGGCTTTGCTTGTTTGTGCGGCCTAGTTGCTGGCATGCCACAGCCCGGTACTGGTCCCGGACCAGGGGTTGGGGACCCCTGATCTACACTACATATGGATCTGTACATGCACTATTTAAATAATTAAAGAATATCCTTCTTGAGTTTGAACACCTGGCAAGTTCTTACAACACATAAATCCCAATCCTAATTTACAAACCATGATTTACAAAGGAATTTACAAACCATTATTAACTTCAGGCAATAAGCTAAACTAAATCCAAACCACATTGTGATTTAATGTAATGTAAACTTAGTCTGGATAGATTGCTGTTTAACTGGTATAGATATCTTATATATATTTTTTGTCCACTAACAAAAAGCAAGTTGTAAAATGTCATTGTAAAATGCACTGTGTACATGGAAGAATATGAATCTATGTTATTTGAAATAAGAGATGGATCATGCATACTGACATAATTGGGGCACTAAAAACCTGCCACTTGTTTGACACCTGAATTCAAATCTCAAAGCTATTAAATTTAGTGTTGGGCCACTTATATAAATTCTTCCCCCAGTGCAAGGGAGATTTGAAACTTAAATGCTGTGAAGCTGTATAAGGTAAAACTGTAACAATCTTCCCCCCCCCCTCTGGAAAACTACCTTAATAATTTTATATACTAAATGTTCTATATATGGGGTCTGATGATATATATGGGGAAGGGGGAGCAAATGTTGTACCCCAAGCAGGCCTCAGCACTGGAACCCAGGATCTGACTGTGTTGAGTCTCAATCCCAGCTCCAGCTATTCAACTTTCATTCTTGAAGAGGGACGCTGGGCTCTTTCCCGCAGACATCTTTCTATAGAGTGTGGGGAGGAAAAAAAACTTAAGAAGTTACCGAGGAATAGGCTCAGACACACCCCCAACTGTTGTGTTCCCCTCCCCTCCGCGCCCACGCTGCCGCCCAGCTCATAAAACTGCTGGCCGCTCGTCGCCGAGAGCAGTTGCTGCCCAACGTGGCCCGGGTCTTAGGCTCCCGCTGCGGAGGCAGGCAGCGACGGCTGGGGTTGCCCAGCTGTTTGAGTGCGGCAATGATCCCTCCTCCCAGCTGCGCCTGCCTCATCTCCCCCCACCCAGCAGCCCGTCCCTCCCCTCCGCCGCTCCCGACGCTGCAGCCGCCACCTCCTACTCTTCTTCCTCCCAACCCCCAGCCTCTCTCGCCCGCTCGCTCTCCATCTCCTCTCGCTGGCTCTCCCGTTCCCGCCGGCGGCCCTGGCAGAGTAGGCACCGCAAGGCGGAGGCGGGAGGAATCTCCATGCAACACCATGACAGGCATCGCCGCCGCCTCCTTCTTCTCCAATACCTGCCGCTTCGGGGGCTGCGGACTTCACTTTCCAACCCTGGTGGAGCTCATCGAGCACATCGAGGACAACCACATCGGTGAGCCAGTGCAGCCGGGTGACGCGTGGGCATCGGGGGGGGGGAGCTGGCGGGGGTGGGGTGGCGGAAAGGGATCACCCCCCCCAGCCGCACTAGGGCGGAGGATTGGGCGGCAGCGGCATGGAGTGCGGAGCGGGAAAGGAGGGGCGTGGGGTCAAGGGAGCGGGCGGGACTGCAGCCGGGATCGAGCGTGGGATGAATGAGGGTAGAGGCTTGAACGGGGAAAGGGGTGCCGGGCAGGATGGCAGGCGAGCAGGCACGAGGGCGGGTGGGTGTGTTGGAGGGTGGGGAGGATGACGGAAGGCGGCGGCGAGTAGCTGCCGGAGGTACATGGCCGGGTGGCTGCAAGGCGCATATGCAACCGCAAAGACGACTGAGTTTGCATTGGCAGCGGTAGAGCGCCGAGACCCGGAGGAGGTGGAGGACGAGTCCAGCACGCCGCCTGCTGCTTCCGCCCCGGCTCTGGCTGTCAGGACTGTGGGGAGGGAGCAGCCGCCGCCGAGGCGGCCATTCCGCTTCCTCCTCCTCCCGCTGTAGCTGCGGCGGCGGTTGCCTCCTGTCAAAGCTGTTGCTAGGTGTGGAGGCTAGGATGGCGAGCGCTAGCCCTCGACCCCTTACGCCGATCAGCTCCAGACTGACTGCGCCGTGCACCGGAGGGGTCTGTTTGAGAAGGCGCCGTGTCAAGCCAGGCAGGCCGGACGGACGTTGCTTGGAGGGCGCCGGCGGCGGCAGAAGGCGGGGAGGTTAAGAGGCTGCTGCAGGGTGGCGGCGGTGCGGAAGGAGTTGCCTGTAAAGCTGCCGGCTGGCGCAGTGTCAGCGCGGCCGTGCGGGACACGCGAAGCGGCAAGGGTGTGGGATGTGCACAGGCGAAGTTGCGGTTAACTCCACCTCGCCTGGTTCCTGGTTGTTTCCAGTGGGAATCGAGCTGGGCCTCGAAGCTAAGACCTGCAGGCTGCGGAATGGGCAGAATGAGATCGTCACCTGTAGGATAGTCGTCTCCCTCCCCCATTTTTTTCCCCCCTGGTGCCAAGCAAATGCTTCGGGAATTCCAGGTGTCCCTCCCTCCCCCGACCCCCCCCCCCAGTTATATTCTGTAAAAAAAAAGGCCAGAGAATGGTGCCCACTATGAAATTCAAGCGGCCAGAATGAACTTGCTGGTGGGAAATCGGAACGGTGTTCGCTTTTTTAGGGCGTTGGCTTTTAGTTTCCCAATCTGTTTTCAAACAGGCGTTAATAAAGTTCAGAAGGAAATCCCACAAAACTGGTGCTTCTTTATCTAAATGCCACAAGTGAATGAAACAAGAATTTTGGAGAGTGATTCCAAAATGATTTCAGGTTATAGTTCACTAGTGCCCTAAAAATAAGACCAACAGGTAAAAGAAAAAGTGATAACTCTCTTAATTACAGCAGGGAACAATGGAGGTCTTGTACAGGAGGTTTGCAATTATTTAGAATACTTTCCTGCTTCCTAAACTAAGTTACAGACTGCAAATTATTGGGGTGGGGGGCACATATAGGAATGAAGTTATATAACTGCTGCAAAATAAAAAATTTTCATTCTAAAAGTACTTGTTCTGCTTTGACTTCATATCTTGATCGTGCAAGCTGTAGTAATTCAGTAAAAATGTAACCAAGTGCCATATTATGCTGACCTGTAATGGACATGCTGTTCTATTTTATAACTCTCAGAAGAGAGGCCTAAATAGAGGGTAGAAAGAGAATAAAGTGAAAAGTCTATCTAAAATAAATTCCAGTCTTGGATTTAAAAACTACGCACTCACTTTTAAAAACTCAAATTTGTTGTGAAACCAATGAAAGGTAAGCAGGCATTTTGCCAGCAGGAAATCAGAATGACAGCTTCAAGGAATCTTACTGATTTCACAGGACTTTCTGATGAATAATTAGGAGCTGCATGCTTAGACCATTCAGGAGTTAGAACAAATTCCAAAGTTCTCATATTTTAATATTTATGATACAATATGTTTTGTTTCAAAGTTGATGGGATTCAGTCCTGTATCTGTTACTTATCAAGATCAAGGTCAACATCCTGGCAAAGAGCCCATTACTTACTAGAGTCAGTCCACCATCTAGAGTTACTATCATTCTGTCATTAATAGCAGCTGATTTTTTCATCCTTACTAATCCAGTGCAGTGACAGGGAGGAATTGTTCAATTGTGTATTACCTTTACTTTTCAGCCCATGGGGACACAAGCAACAATAATTGCTACAATATCCCCATTGAATCAAGAGAAAGAGTGAACAAGTGATCTAAGGGCTGCATTGGATCTTGCTGTGGCTTGCCAATCTGGCTCTGGGGGAAAAAGGGGAAGATCTTGGTGTAGTCTGGTAGGGAGTATGAATTACAGCAGTATTTGTAGTGACTGGAGTCCACTTGGCCAATGACAAGTAAAGTCAGTTCTGATGCTGTACCTATTTTCTTCCCATTCACTAATAAGAATTTTGGCTCAATAGGTTTATGTATTATAGATGTATACTTACACAATCTTGACTCTTTGCTAGAGGAAAAATGAGACAGTTTTAACTTACCACTTTTTCCAGATACTCTATCCTTTAACTAGGCCATTTTACTGGTGAGAAAGTTCATGCTGAAGGGAATATTACGCTATATCCGTATATCGCCATTGCTTTGTAATGGCTTTCACATGCAATTTAATGTGTTGTTTATCATCCATAAAGTCCTACAGGGCCAGATTTATTTGCAGGATTGTCTGTCTCCCATTAGACCCCCCATTCCACATACTTTCCCACATCAGCTTGCTCTAAGCCCTGTCTGTGCACCAAGTCATTTGGCTGGAGTCCAGGGGTAGGCAACCTTGGCTCTTTTATGACTCATGGACTTCAATTCCCAGAATTCCTGAGAGCCAAAGTTGCCTACCTCTGGGCTAGACCTATCACTTAGGTCTGGGGAGATCACTGCTTTTTGGAAGATCTCCCCACTGCTCAAGATTTGTTTGATCCTGATCCTGCTACCCTTCAGAAGTTAAAAAGCGAGGGGTTTTTTATGGCCATTTGGGCCAGGAAGTTAAGTGTCCATTTCAGAAGATGGTATAATGTGTTTATATCTGAATGTATTTTTAAATCTCTTGATTATTTTTAATATGTTAGTCACACTAAATTGATTTCCCATAATCAATAAACCAATAGATGTTTTATCTTCTCTCTTAACACAGAGAAGGAGACATCCTAAAAGTTGCCTTCTGAAACGTGGAGTAATGGTTTCCTGTGTTCATCACTAAAAAAGACACTGGCATTGGTGGGATAATGTATTTATCTACTTATGCTTGAAACATAAGAAGACCCAAAGTCAGAGCAGTTTGCAGATTCCAAGCTGAATTGAGTGGGTCCATATCTGAGCTAAGGTCTTACTAAGAGTAAAGAACTAAGTTTCAGAAGATCATATATAAAGGATTTTTATTCTTGTATTGGACATTTTCAAAACTAGTGTTAAAACACAAATGTTAAAAACACACTAAAATAAAATGGACATATTCTGTTGCTACTCCTTCCGGTCTAGAATGTCCTATATAGATGTTCTAAGACATGGAACAGGCCTGGAATCTACTATTTTCGCTACAAATGTGGGTCTGGGAAAAATTAATTTGTTGCTATATTATATATATATATATATATATATATATATATATATATATATATATATATATATATATATATATATATATATATATATGTAGGTCTTTGGTTGTTCGGGTTTTCTCCCGCATAAAATTGGAAGTGTCTTGGCGACGTTTCGACGAAGTCCCATTCGTCATCTTCAGGCTGGTGTTTTCAGCTTCGTGCTTTGAGCAGCTCCTCGAAGCACGAAGCTGAAAACACCAGCCTGAAGATGACGAATGGGACTTCGTCGAAACGTCGCCAAGACACTTCCAATTTTACGCAGGAGAAAACCCGAATAACCAAAGACCTACATACAAACACCCGCGAAAACCTCAGAAAACATATAATGTATATATATGTGTATGTATGTATGTTGTGTGTGTGTGTGTATATATATATATATATATAATATATATATATATATATACATACATACACATGTTTTCTGAGGTTTTCGCGGGTGTTTGTATGTAGGTCTTTGGTTATTCTGGTTTTCTTCCAATTTTACGCGGGAAAAACCCGAATAACCATATAGATATATATATATATATATATATATATATATATATATATATATATATATATATATAATAACGATCATCAAGAAAATGAGTAAGAAAATAGAATTTAATCAACCTAGCTTTCGTCGATAACTCTCGACATCATCAGGGTTAAAAGGCAAACGCTGAGAGAGAACCTATATATGATCATTAAACACCTGTTTCCGGCTCCTGGAGCACGTCACCGGCCCCAGCTGATCGAGTTGCGCTCTAAATGCACCCCTTTCGTCAATGCGCGTTCCTTTCCCGTTCCTTTCCTGCACTCCATCACGCACCATTCCACCATTAACCCCAGGGTTGGATGGGATTGGAATCCCCCCTCCTCCCTTGTGTGCAATCCCTCCATCATTTCGCATATCCCTCATTCTGTAGGGTGGGGGGAGGATGTGTTCAAGTCTCTACCAATACCCCCGCACGCTGCAATCCCGTCTTGATCTGCCCTACTTATCTTTTGGGACTGCAATGCGAGTCTCTCCCCCCACCCCATGCTATTCTCCCTCTTGTCCTCATTCTTGTGCACCATCCTAATTGGCCTGTTGTTCGATCCAGCATCTCTTTCCCTGCATACACCTAAAACATTCTTTACCGGCGTTCCATTGATAGCACTTTGCCATACTGTCTGGTGTTGGTGAGCACCGTTCTCGTTCGACCCTAATCCCCCCCTGAATCCCCCCAGACACACACAGACACACACAGACACACACACACACACACACACACAAAGTAATGAGGAATTTTCATATCTGGAATCCTGATATGAATTACTGCTCTAATTTTTAGGCTGAATTCACACTGACTAGATTATAAGTGTTAATATTTTAGCACTGTGATTTGATATGCAACAACTGGGTAGCC